TGTGATTCTGTGATTCTGTGATTCCTGGCCTGGTCAGAGCAGCTGCAACCTCAGTGAGGCCACCAGGAGCTGGCATTGTGGGCATGTTCCCCGCAACCACCAGGTTTTTGGGAGGGGCAGACACATGCCAGAAAACATAGATAAAAGGCAGCCTCCCTTTTCTGCAACAGGATATAGCATCCAGGCCATTCTGTGCCTACAGCCCCTGCGCAGCCTGGGACACCCTAAGGAGCTTTGTGCAAAGATGCTCAGAGGCACAGAGTGAGCACTGAGATGGCTTAATGGGGCTGGTTGGACACCGACAGTTCTTGTCTCAAACCCACTTTTAAACAAGCTAAAGATATGGTGCAATGTGAAAATGAGAAAAATACAAGGCAGCTCCCAAATGAAGGGACAGCTGAAGGGAGAAGGCAAGAATTAATTCAAAACCTAATCTTTTTTTCTTTCACAAGAAAGAAGAGAAATCAGAACATTTATCTTCATACAGGTGTCCATTCAGGAGTTATACTCAGCCCAGTGGGGAAGAACACGCAAATCCCCCTAACACTCAGATGAAAACATACCTTCAGTTTTCACTTAAAAGGCAGCGCATGACAGAATGAGAAAAATAAGTGTTTAAAACATAAATTATAGAATTAGGTGAAGATATTTCCCAAATTTATATGACTTTAGTACTGCAGTATAAATTACAAAACTTATCTACATTCCTTTCAGAGAAGGAGTCAAGCATCCTCTGTACTCCAATTTTGTGTCATTGTCTTCAAAATAGAGAAGGGAACGGAACCTTTCCACTAAAAGCAATTGAAAACTTCACTTTAACTTGTATGGTTAAAGGCTGATTTGCTACTTTTGAGTAACAAATACAAAAACTTACTCAGGAGTATGTAACTCACAGGCAAAAGATACAAAGCAGCTGCAAGCAGGAGCAGAGATGACCGTGACTCCTCTCCTTCCTGACTTCCTCTCCTACCTCGGTTACATACCAGCCAAAAGCAGCGCTCAGGAAGCAGACAGCTCATGCTAACTCCCTTTTCTGCTTGGACAGTAATAGCTGGGACACCCAGATCAATCTAGTAGATGCCTGTATTCTTTGGCAAGTTAATCACACAGTGTTATTATCAATGAATGAAATTCGAATATAGTAGTTAACACAAACAAGTAGTAGATATTAATCTGGCATTTGGTTTTGTGTTTCAGTCCAGTATAAGAGCTAGGTAAGGCTGAGAGGCAGATAAATCAATCAGGTTATGAAGAGAATCCCACAAGAAAATTGCCCTTCTGTTACTGAAAGAGCAGTTCACACATGGGGTATCAGTATTTCTTTAGCTTGTCTCCTACACTACAAGGCAGCTGCATTAGCAATTAAGCACTGCAGGCCCTGTGATATACAAAGTGATTAGAAAGCGACACACCATTCCATCAGAAGGAAGAATGAAGTGAATGAATAGTGGCAAATGATGGAGGCACCAAAGAGGTCAGACAAATGGGATAAAATGTCAAGACACAGCTGACTTTAAATGCAACAGTCACTTGATGGGAAGCTGTCAGGCTTCCCTGAATGTGCCTTACGGTGACAAGGGATCTTCATCCACTTAGTGGATGCGTTTCTCAGGATTCAGTATCTCACTGGAGAGGATGTTAAGAACAGGAATGCACCTATCACTACAACTGTTTATGCTTTGATCGGTACAAAAGTGTTGGCAATTTTCAGTGAACACAGTGAAGTAAGAGCAAAAAGCAGAAATGGGTATTAAGGGTACCTGTGCAAAATCTGCCGCGAGCCGCATCTTCCCACCTTCACCGAGGGGCCTTATTAGACTGGCATTGCGAATGAAAAGTTCAATTGCTCTTCGAGCCATGGCTTCAGTGTTATCAAAGACAAAGTCAAAACACTCAAAATGTCTGAAGTAGTCGCTCATGACTCTTGCTATAAAACCCTGTAGTTCTTTCATGTACAGAGAACAAGGGACATCTGGTTTTCCTGAGCTGGATAATGATCTGAAAAAAGAAAAGAAAAAAAATGGGGACAGTCAAATTCATCTTTAAAACACAATCAAAACCTACTGGATTCTTTTAACATTTTTTTCCTACCCCATGAAGTCATGGCATGAACTGTGGAGTGTCATTTCTGCTCAGAATAAAAAGCATGTAGTGTTCTCTGAAACAGTAGTCAAAAATATCTATTAGCCATTCCCATCCTAAGAAGATAAAGGAAATCACCCCACTCCTACCCAACTTGCAGAGCCCCCATCAGTTTGGAGCCTACACCTCAAATCCATCCCCTAAATTTAAATATCCCAGTTGTTGATTTGAAGCTCTAATAATGGATCAGAAAACAGAAGCACATGTCACAGGGTTGCTAGTTTAGCCTATCCCAAAACTGTCCTCTGCATAGAATTAGTTTCCTGGACCGCTCCAAAGCCAGGATTATAAAGTCAATCTAATTATCACAGAGGCAGCACAGAAGCAGCAGGACACCAAAATCAATCACTTCGTTCCTTGAATCACAGTCAGGCAAAAGAGCTGTTACAAACTCAGGAACCTGAGCGTACAGCCTAACAAAACTTCGCCTTTGACTGGAATCAGTTCATCCACCTAGAGAGCTATTTTGCTAGTGGTAGCAAAAGAAAGATGGAGAGGGTAAAATATTGTTTAAAAAAGTAAGTCAAAAGGAAAATTTAAAACACCTCTGAAAATATACTACTTTCAGTGAATTTCCAAGACAGAAAACAGGACATCTGATAATGATATAAGCAATGTCAGAACAGAGATAACAACCAAAATAACACTTAGGAAGGAAGTCTCAATTATACATAGGACGCAAGATCATTGCAGATAAAGAATACTGGAAATTTTAATTAAAATGTAATGGGAAAACAGTATAATACACTAAATTAGAGCTTTCAATAAAAAATATTTTTGAACCATTTCATATTCAATATTACTTTATTAAAAATTCTGTGTAATTTTGAAGCAGAAGCTATATGCTTTATTTTGAGAAACAAGAATACTGACAGTTCTGAAGCCTGTCCACAAAAAATAAGTTTTAAAACCAAAAGGGTTTTTTTTAAGCACAAAAATGGCCTCTGCTTGGTTATATTTTTCTATTTAAAATTAATTTTACTCAACAGATACGCAAAAACAAAAAAGAGAGGGAAGAAGAAACAGATGCTATGTTATTAATTTGTTTCAACAGATAGATGTAATTCTGCTTTCTGTGTTCAATGACCATAAAGTATCGCTCTCCCTTCAACAAACAGGCGCTCTTGCTTCAAGGACATTGTGGCAATAACAATCTATTATGCATATGCAGGATGTCTTACTAAAGCAATGACAAATTTAAAAAATATTTCCAGTTACCCAGAAAAATCTTCCTGGTGCATAGTGATGATAATAGCTTCTACTGAATCTCCTACGGAGTTCAGTAACGGTTGAACAGCACTACCCATTAGATCATGGACTGCCTAAAATAGAATGAGAAAAAGGCAGAAGTAAGGGAACAGAAACTAGAAGCATTTGCATTTTGACACCTCAAAAATACCTTGACAAACAGTTCATTTCATCAGTGCTTTTCATTATTCTGCATTAGAAACTGCTAAACAGAAGGACAAAAGCCTAAGATCGCACTTCTCTTCAATTGATTTTACATGTACAGAAATAAGGCTGCTTACTACAACTATGTAAAGCCTTCCTTCAAAAAGGTGCATGACT